TCCTGACTCTAGCGCTGACCTTTGTTGTTCTTGTTGTTATTCTTGGCCCCTGCTTGCCACTACTTCTACTAGTAGGCATCACTGTCCAAGCCACCATTGTGACAACAGGTTAGAAAAACACTGATTAGGGATGGTCTAGGTATACTTGGTCATATCTTGATCTTTGGAGGCCCCTTCCATCCTTGTTTCTATGATTTTTATATACCCTCTTCTTGTGTTTTTTGTTGTCTGTGGATTGTAAAAACAAAAATAGAAGGAAACCTTTCATGTTTAGGCTTCCCGATTAACTCAATATAGTGTAACAAATCTATATTCAATCTTCCAGTAAAAATAAATTTATAATCAAGCGTAATGGGATTTTTTGTGGCCTTAAAAGCATATTCCTCAATTTTGGTGGGCTTTGGCTCAGCTCCTTAATGTTTCTTCTGGTATCAAGGGAGGTAGAAATTGTATCTAGTGAAGTTCGACTGGACTTTTGCAACAAAAATAATGCAGGAAACTTGGGAAAATAATTCCTAAGTATTCTCTGCCTTAGAATTGCATGAAAGGGTTAAACTTATATGTTTCATGGTTCTGGACGACTCATTCTGTATCCCTTTTCTAATTTAATCTGTCATTCTTGTTGTTTGAATCTTTGTGTATTCATATTGTAATGCTGCTTGTCTCATTGTTCCTCTTTCCTCCTTACACCGCTGCCATTGGAATTCTTCCTACTCATGGTTCTGATCTGAATAAAACTCTGTTTCAGTTAGTAGGGTCATTCTCACACTACCCTGGGCAAGTGAAGTTCTGTTTTTCTCACTTTCTACCCTGACAACTTCACTTCTGTTTATTCCTCCTTTGTAAACACCTTGTAGGCTAAAAAATTCATTAAATCCCAAACATACTCGTAAAAAATTCTTCTCTGATATTTGCAGTTAGAATCAGCACCTACATTTTGTTCGGTCTGTTGCATAGGTGCTGATGCCGGGGGAGGAGGGGTTCTGGGTTCTGTGGGAGTACACGTGGGGAAAAAATAATGGGTTCTTAGCACCCAGTGGCAGCCCACTCCTCCATCCACAGTATTTTCTGCTGGGGGGAGGGAGAGTTAGGAACACGGGACGAAGAGCTGGGATAGGCATGCATGGGGGAGGGATGGAAGTGGGCAGGAAAACTGTGGTGGGGCCTAAGGAGAAGAGTATTGGAGCGGCCTAACCTAGAGCAGAGGCAGGTGGTGTGGGAAAGAGGTTGAGGGAAGGAGTGGAGTCTGGGGCTGAGCAGAGGATGAGCATTCCCAGGGCTAAGAGGAAGCTGGTGCCTGTGGACTGTTGCAAAATAGTTCATCTTGTTATAGTAAAGAAATAGACAAAGAGATATTTATGGTAAGTAATAGAACAAAAATCTTAAATGCTTGACATGTTGCCCATAACAAGGGCTCACACATTGGTATAAAACTTTACATATAGAATATTTTTTGTTAGCAGTTTCCAAATATGAAGAAACATCTTAGTTTTCTAACAGCTCTGCCCTTTAAACTGTGCTGGGGTTGTCATCTTCTCCTGGGAAAGAATGTTGTGTCATCTCAGAAGTTGAATAAATAAACTTACTTCACTCTAGGCCTAAAGATGGCACATTATATGAGATGTGAATCAAAAATTACTAAATGTGTCACATTCTTTCTTTTGATGGTGAGGAAAAACACATTACATTTTTAATCTTCCTTGTACAAGATATTTTCTGACTAATCATATACTAATATTTCCCAAGCCACATTGATGATGATATGCATTTCAAAAGGGCTTCTGATCTAGGATTGGATAATGATTTTTTTGAGATATATCTAATGACTTTCAGTAATCAAAATCCTTTGATTGTCTTTTATGTCTTTCTCCAATTATCTTTTCTCTTTGAATTGCTAAATTAGTTTTGGTAGCACTTTACGATGCACAGTTTTATTGATATACAAATAGAGAGTTTATACCAATAGGTCATATGCGCATGGCAAGCACAGTTTATTTGTGAAATGAATTGTGCACGGTTCTTAGTTCAGTAAACACCATTGAAATTGAGGCATCCTGGTCTAAAGCAGTGCTTCCCAGAATGTTTGTGCTGATGACCTTCTTTGGATTTAAAAAAATGGTGACTCTCCCCCACCTTCTCCAAATATAAAAAAATTGCAACCCCACCTCACCTCAAGTTCTGGGCTTTGGGCCTCAGCTTAATTTGGCATAAAGCTAAAACACGTACATTAGATGTGCAGATCCCCTGCATCATAGAGCCCTAGGAAATTGCCCTGCTTCCTGTCCCCTAACGCCAGCCCAGCTTCTGACCCTCGCTCCCAACCTGTCCCATGACCCCCCTGGTCTAGAGGAATATGTTCTGGGAGTCAGAAGATCCTAAACTCTTATTCTGGGTCTGTCACTAGTAAAAACATAAGGATATGGAGAGAAATTGACACTGAAATTGCACAGAATGTTATGCTTTGCCAGTGCCAAACCCAAGCAGATCTTGATTATCTGGAGCAAGTATCCTGGGGGAATAGGCAGGCTGTTGTATACTCATGTATACTTACATTAGTTTTATCTCACATCTCTGCTGAACTCTGTGATGGAGGGTGATATGGCTATATCAGATTCTGAAATATGGCTTATATCCATGTTCAGACATTGGCACTGTGGCTTCATTAGTTTGGATTTGCCCAGGGACAGCCTCTTATGCTGCATTGCCGACTAAGGATGTCAATGTGGGTGAATACATGATTAACCAATAAGCCTGGTCTTATCTCTTAATCTGGTTGACTACACGCATCCCCCCCCCCACCCTTGTTGCCTCTGTATCAGAAACAACAAGGAGGGGAAGCTCCAGATCCACCTACCCCTCCCCATGCTGCTGCCTCTGATAGAGAGGCAGCAGTGCAGAGGCAGGCGGGGGCAGATATGCATGGGGAGCCAGCTTTTAAGCAGCTCTCTGTGCGTGTTAGTTCCATGGACCCACCTGCCTCCCCTTGCTGCCTCTTACAGAGGCGGCGGAGAGCAGGATTAAAAGCCAGCTCTCCTTAGCACCTGCTCCACAGTACTGTCTCTTCCCCCCTATGCTATCAGAGGAAGCAGCGCGATGGGGATAGGGTAGGGGAAGCTGTCGTGAAGCCTGTTCTGGCTCTCCACCCCCCCATGCCTCCCTGGGGCTGGAACACACAAAATCTACTCGTCTGGACCCCCTGCGCTCTTAAACCTCTTTTATAAGGAGTAAGGGTTATATAGAAAGAAGGGTTTTGTTTGTTACTGGGTTGGAGAAATCTAATTATAAAACATACGACTAATTTGGGGTACCCGCCTTGTTTTTGACAGTCTGCCCTGAGTAGGAACTCATGGTGAGGAGCCACTTGAGCCAGCATGACACCATGGTGTTTCCTTCCTTTTCTCCTTTTGTTGGCAGGATGGTATTTCAGTTTGAGCAAAATTGTTTTGTGACTGCAGTTCTGATTTCATGCCTCTACTGTCAGGTTTTGAAGTAGAATGGATATTTCTCAATTTTCTCTCACAATCCATTGTACTTACATAAACAGTATACCCACATCTTTATTTGTAATTATTGATACAATACTAATAACTGAAAAGTCAGTTACTGAGTATCCATAATTTCAACTATCTTTAGTTCTAATTGCTTTTTTCCTAGCAGTGAGAATTAGGATTCTATAAGAAGAGTTAAAATTCCACAATTTTAGTATCTTTTCCTTAGTAATTGTATAGCAGTTTTTTAATAAACTTATATTTTATGACAATAGAAATAACAATGTGACATTTTAAATAATTAGCTCTTAATAAAATGGGCATTTCATTGCAAATGGAAGCTTTTAATGATAATTCTATATTTAATATGTCAGTGATGCATTCTCAAAGATGGAGGTGCAAGACCTTCTATGTTATTGAAATCCTGAGGAAGGACTGGAAACAGTGCTACACAAGGATGTCCCTGCACGTGTGGCATGCTGTAGAATGGAGCTCCTACTTGGCTCTGAATAGGTTGCTCAGAGAGACAAGGGGAGGGAGGAGGGAAAGTTGTGGGTTTGGGGCAGAGTTGAGATGTGTGGGTTATGTTGGGGGTTATAAAATTCCTGGCTATCTTGCTTTAGTAGTCATAATCAAGAAACATCTGATTTAATGAAGTTTATTAATTCATGTATATAAAATAAAAGTAAAAGATTTTATGAGATTATATAGAGGACTGAGCGTAGAAGCTGTTCTCCTGACCACCACTCCGAGCTCAAACTGCTAAATATGTGGCCTCTAGACCTTCCCACATTTCCAGATGTGAAGCCATCATAGCCTCTTTTCTACGTTACCTTACCTTATAACTGTCTAAAAATGTATTTTTGACAATTTCTATAACTCTTATCTAATCTAAAACTGTAGCAAACAAGCTAAGACTCCTGTAATGCAAAATACAATCTGAAACATGTTTTCTTAAATAAATTTTAAAATTTACTCTTACTTTTTTAACTGTTTGAAATCTCATTATTCCATTAATATTGTAAAGTGTAATCTGATACCAATGTAATACATTTAAAACCAGCAAAAAGGATTTATATCAAAACTAATATATGTTCTCGTATATGTTCAAACTAAAACGTAAATTTCAGTTACACAAACCAATATGCAAGTACAATAGCCAGGCTTCATTGCAAAATTAAAACACAATTTTTCAAAAGATAATAAAATCCAGCATTGTATTCGGTGCATGGAATGTACGCTGTATTAAGCAAATCTGGTTGCTTTTCCAAAACAAGCAGAAACTGCTCTTCTTTGAGCAGTGTGTGATACTGTCTTCTCAGATTAGGATAATAGAATTTAGCAATCGCAAATCATCGAGCTGGGAATAAGATTTAGCCAAGGGATATGAGAATTAGGGATTGCTGATCAAATCTGAACATCATTGGTTGAATATGTGCTATTACATTTTTTTTTTTTTTTTACTCAAGATAGAGTTTCAGATGCATTCATTATGGTCTTTTTTCTCAACAGGCCCATGCAAAAGTCTGGCATCTCTACAATGATCATTTTCGTCCAACTCAAGGAGGCCAAGTGTCCATTGCCCTCAGCTCCCACTGGATAAAACCGCAAGCCATGACTGAACAAGACATACAAGAATGTCAAAAATCCCTTGACTTTGTGTTAGGCTGGTTTGCTAAACCCATATTTATTGATGGTGACTATCCTCAGAGCATGAAGAATAACCTTTCCTCTCTGCTGCCTGAATTCAGTGATGCAGAGAAGATGTACATCAAGGGAACAGCTGACTTTTTTGCGCTTTCTTTTGGAGCAACACTGAGTTTCCAGCTCTTGGACTCTCAAATGAAATTCCATCAGTTGGAATCATTAAGCCTGAGGCAGCTCCTTTACTGGATAAACCGTGAATATAATAAGCCCAAAATATTCATTGTGGAGAACAGCTGGTTTGTCTCCGGTAGCACCAAACGAGATGATGCCAAGTATATTTATTATCTCAAGAAGTTCATTATGGAAACATTAAAAGGTAATTGTGTTGATGACTTAATATTATTTTAATGACAAAGCATGGAAAATATCCCACCAAAACTTATTAGACACATGTTACAAAACATAATTTTGGTCTTGAATATTTATCTAGACTTTCAGTATGAAATGAGACTTCAAGTTAATTAATTGACAAGTGCTTTTTTAATGTGTGGTATGGAGGCACTTCGTTGATCTCGTCTTGCTCTCCTTAAAGCCAATGGCAAAACTTCCACTGATTTCAGCAAGAGAAAGTACAAATACTGTGTGAACATTGCTGCTGTGTATTTATTAATGGGATTTGTTTGAAATCATTACAGGAAAACATCATTACAGAGGTTCAATCTCTTAGCTGAATAAATATTTGCTAAATAAAACTAGTAGGTACATACATATGTGCGTACATACATACACTAAAAGTAAATGCTTCCTATACCCACTGCCCACAGTGGAGTTGCTTTTAAACTAGCTGACTTCTCATGGAAAGGCCTTTAAAACCTATTTCTATTCTTTATTAACAGCATGCATGAAACATTACTTGTAGTGTAGTATTGATTTCTAGAATGGCAGAAATGACCATTTTAAGTTGTAACAACAGAAGAGCAGTACTATTTTTTAGTTGCTTGAGTTTTTATTATTTCTGCATTTTTAGAAACAGATACTTCAATCTTTACTTGATGAAACTTCTTGGGTGTAAACTGTAAGAGTTGGATTCAAAGCCTGTTGAAGTCAGTTGAAAGACTTACAGAATGGAATTTGTATCAGGCCTTATGGCATTTATGTTACCTACTACATTGTTTTAATGCTAAAATACTATAATTGTTTTTAAAAGGTGTCCTCTATTAGAAAAAAAATGAGCAATGTGATGTCATCTTGCTTTTTTTTCCCCCACCCTCAGCCATCCGATATGATGAAGTTGATGTCTTTGGGTATACTGTTTGGTCCCTCATGGATGGCTTTGAATGGCATAGAGGATACAGCATTAGACGTGGATTATTTTATGTTGATTTTCAAAGCCATGACAAGAAGTTTTTGCCAAAGTCTTCTGCTTTGTTCTACCAAAAGCTTATAGAGAGAAATGGCTTCCCACCTTTGCCTGAGAATCAGCCTGTAGATGGGAAGTTTCCTTGTGACTTTGCTTGGGGAATTGTTGATAACTACATTCAAGTAAGTATGATGACAAAGCCAATAGATGCTCCAACCAAATTGCTCTTTAATTATATAACTATTCACCAGGCATCCTAAATGTGCCCCTGAAAGTGGATCCAAATTTAAATATAATAAATAAGACTTTCTAAAGACTAACACCACACAAACAAAACACTGAAAATGTGATACAATGTTTGTCTTCCTAGGACATTTATGAGGTGTTCAGTTAACAAAAATGCATCCTTTTCAAATGCATTTTGGAAGATTATCTGTTAAATCCAGCTGTTCCACACAAAGGTACTAATATATTAAATGGCAAATATTAAAAGTGACCTTTTTATCTCCATAGTTATAATCATAGAATACTAAATTTTGATCTAAACCTATTCCCACAGAGCAGCCTCTATCCATGGGGAGCTCACCCACTCCCCCCCCCCAGACAGGGGCTGCTGCCTCCCCGCATTGCTGCCTTTGTATAGGTGGTAGCTGTGCTGGGCAGCAGGTGGGTGCAGGTCTGCATGGGGACCTGGTTTTTAAACTGGCTCCCCTCACGGACCAACTCCTGCCTGCCTCCCAGTGTTATTACCCTGATAGAGAGGCAGCAGTGTGGGGCACCAGTGTAACCGGTATGATTTCATGCGGTACATGACTATTCAGTTACACAATATCTAACATCCCTACCACATACAAGAATGATACCTGCACAGAAATGGAATATTCACCTTCAGCAGATTATAACTTTAAAAATGATATGTTACATGATGCATTTTGCCAAAACCATCTTCGAGTTATGCATATTCATATTCATAAGCCAATTGGCATAAAGCATGGGGGCTGTGACAAGCTCTCAAACTGAAAAGTCTGCTTTTTGCTTAGCTCTGTTTGTAGTGTAACCATGTTTTATGCATATCCAATACAGCATCATTGCTAGTGCTGAAAAGAAGCAGAAAGCATACAGGAAAATAACTTTGAAACAGGGATGGACAATTCTGCTATGCTCCTTATTTAGCAGGAGGTGCAGTGTTGCTTCTTCATATTCTGCTGCATCACTCAGGGCCGGATTAAGGGGGGGGCTAGCCGGGCAGCTGCCCGGGGCGCCAACCTATGGGGGGTGCCTGATTGCAGCTGTAAGGTGCGCTGCACGGCCTCCGCCCTTGGATGCGCGACGCTCCTTACAGTTGCAATCAGGTATCACATGGCCCCCGCCCTCGAGCACACGACGCCCCTTACAGCCCGGAGGTGGGGGCTGCGCAGCACCTGATTACAGATGTACGGGGCTCCGTGCGCTCGGGGAGCGGTAATCACACATGCGCCACGTGCCTGTTGCCTGGGGCACAAGAGTGGCTCAAGCCGGCACGGGCATCACTGCTCCATTGCTAGAAACCACCCTGTCTGAAACCCTCTTAATAGATTTCACTTTTTTTCCCCCGGCTTTATCTGTTAATCTAACACCCCTTTACACTTAGAGCCTTCAATGCACATGAAAAAATCATACACAGGTTGGGTCTCTTTAGTTCTCAGATGTTGTTTTGTCTTCAGAGCTCCTGTAGCTACTATAAAGGTGTATAGTAAAATTCTGCGCCTAGATTGGCACCAAGGACAAAATGTTTAAATCAGATTTTTTCCATAAATACAGAAACATTCTGAAGGCTGGAGCAGGGGCACTGGGACACTTTCTACAATGAACCACTTCAAAACATGCATCCCCCTGCAGCCTATGAGCTGAAACATAGTTTGTTCCAGCACCTATGAGTTGAAACTTTGTTTGTTTTGTTTTTTACCCAAAAAGGAAGCGCTTACTTCACTCTCTAGAGAAACATTGCAACCTCCTTACCCGAGGCAGTGATTTTTAAGAAAATTCAGCAATTATTGTCTTTCTGGTCCCAAATAAATTGAGACTGGAAATGGCACTGCTACCTTTGGGATCGATAAAAGCTGTAAAGTTACTGAGTCAGTCATCTCAAGACACTTAAAAAAGCTTTCCCACTCTGGATATTCTCCACTTCAAAAGGATATTTAAACATTTTATGCTGTAAGACTGAGGTAGAATGATTTGTAGATGCATCGCAGTGGAAAAACACTTCTGACAGCATTCCCACAGTATTAGTGGAAATGCATGCTTTAGTAATCTACAAGGGACAATTCCCCAGAAAAGCAATTTCCCTCTGACATGCTGGTTTTTATTGCTTTTCTCTATGAGCACAACACTGACCTCTCCAGAGAGAACAGCAACTGATCTGCAGCTGCTCTGTATTGTTCTGCAGTCGCAATTACAGGCCCAACAGTGGGTTTAAACTGACCCAGCTTTTGAAACACAAGGTCTGACTGGGAAACAGGCTCACAGGTTAATTTAATAAGAAAAATAGCTAGCACATGCAGATGTACACGTAGGAACTATGTCTTGTAGTTTGGGTTTTTCATCTGAAAGGTAAACTGGGCTAGGAAGAAGAAGAAAAAATACACATAAT